CTCACATCCACCAACCCGAAGCTCGACTCTAACCCCCGCCATCCCGAAGCTCGACTATACCCTCCGCCAACCCGAGGCTCGACTCTCACCTCCGCCATCCCGAAGCTCGACTCTCATCTCCGCCAAACCAAAGCTCGTCTCTCACATCCGCCAAACTGAAGCTCGACTATACCCTCGGCCATCCCGAATCTCGACTCTCACCTCCACCATCCCAAAGCTCGACTCTCACCTCTGTCAACCAGAAGCTCAACTCTCAGATTCGCCAACCTGAAGCTCGTCTCTCACCTCCGCCATCCTGAAGCTCGACTATAACCTTCTCCACCTGAGGCTCGACTATAATCTCTGCCACCTGATGCTCGACTCTCACCTCCACCATCCCGAAGCTCGAATCTCACCTGTGAAACCCGTGCGCTTGATGAGGAGGGTCAGTAGCACTAGCCAGAAAACATGAGATGGAGAGGCCGGCCGGGGGAGGTTGGAGTTGTTGGCCGGGGGCGGGCACGTTGGTCCCTCTGTAATGCATGACCTCTGCATAGTACGCAGCCCTAGAAACAACCTTCCCAACTACCTTCCACAAATTGACTACCTACGCTAGGTAGCGCGAGATGGGAAAGAAGGGTTGGGAGGGGAGGATTGGGATTGGTTGATACTTGGGACCAATCAGATTTTAGTTGTACAGATTGATTTGGCGAAATTCCCAACACACGCGATGGTTGGATTTGCGACCAATCAGAATCAGGGAGTTGGTTGGCAATGCCGACTCAACTCGAATATTCCTATGCTGTACACCATATGCTAATCTGAAAACATTGTTGTAAACCTCTCATCGGTTGGAAATCCAACCCTTTGTTACATAAACTAGCTCACCTCCTTGGAGCCATGGAGGAGGTGCAACAGCTCCTGGGAGTCATTGGAAAGGGTTTGGGCTGAGAAGCTCATTCTCAACTTCCCACTCCAAGCAACCAATCTTGAAATGGAATTTTTCTCTAAGTCATGAGCTCTCCTTACAAGCCTCCCTACACTAGTAGCTTCTAGTGTGGTCTCCTAGGGGAAACCCTACCCAACCAGAACCTCAAGTACTATTCTCCAAGAGCCTTCCTCAAGCTTAAGCTACTTCTTAGAGGGGGTTCTTCCTAAGTACTACGCTAGGAGATCGCTAGTTCACTTTGTACTCCATTATTATATCCTAGGATCTTGGATGTTGGTTTGACTTCAACCCTTGTTTGCCCATGCTATAAGGGCAAGGGTTGTTACTGTACATTGGTATTCATAGCAAGGTTAATCTTAAGCCTTGTGTGATTTTCTTCATTTTTTTTCTAAGGGGTGATAGGGCTTCAATCCAAGACATTGGAGTGAAGATGTGAAGATCTTTCAATAATTTCAAGCTTCTCCAAATCATTGGAAGAGCTTCTTCAAGATCTTCACCCACTCCAACCCTTCTCAAGACCATTTTCTGCTACAAATTTCTTCTCCTACCTCCACCATTCAAGCTTTGAAGAGAGATACTTTTCTCTCTTGCCCACCTTGTTGGTGGAAGACTCCCTTGTGGAGCATGGTTCAGATCTATGATCTGTTGCAAGATCTAGTTTAGACCTTGCCCTGGCACTGAGGTGCTAGGGATTGGGAAACAGATTGTCTTTCTTGTAATTTCTCATATTAAGTTATTCTGTTAAGAGATCTCTTTATTGAGATTGTCTTGCCTTCTCACTGTGGTGATTGGGACTTGAACAGATTTCTTAAGAGATCTTAAAGAAAATTTCAGATGTGTTGAAACCTCTTCCTTGTTTTACTATGACTTCAAGTCAAGGTTTGGAGAAATTGGAGAGGGAGGAGCCTAATGTGACTCCTGAGGGAGCCGACCTCGCTGCTAGTAATAACCAATAGCAAGATGAGGCTATGGCTGATATTGAATAAGTGGACCTAAATTTGGAGAATGAGGGCAATGAAGAGCATGGAGAAGTAGAGGGGATCGATGGAGCAGAGGGGGAGGATGATGGCATCGAGGAATGATCGCTCTCCAATAATGTGGCTAAACTCCAGGGCACAAGTCTCCGAGCAGCAGCTTATGACCAATCAGCAGAAGGGACACATAAACTCCCTCAATATTGCTTTGGCGACACAAAAGGCCGACACGACTAGGTTGCAAGCCGATCTCAATATGGCATACGGAGAGGTACGAGATTACAAGCGTCTGCTACATAACAGGGGCAATCAAATCCTGGCTCTGGAGAAAACGTGCGACCAGCTGCAAGCTACTATTACCCAACTACAGACTACAATTGCCCAGCTGCAATCTACCATCGCCCCGGTGCAACCTGCTATTGCCCACCTGCAAAACCAGTACAGAGATATTCGGAGGGGTCCTATCTACCAGCACTCACCTGCTACTACTGGCCCGTCGGGAACCCAAGCCAATCCGCCTCCTGTTGCATCTCCTTCAACTGCAGCACCTTAGCAGCTTGTCCAGCCTATGGCTACGCCTTTCGGTACGCTCCCCACTGCACTCCCCAAGTTCATCCACGGCAAGACGGATGTTGAAAATTGGGTGACAAGTGTGGATGAAATGCCGACCCTCCACAACGTGCGCATCAACGCTCGTGTCACCGCCATCTCTGGTGCGTTGGATGAGCATGCTAGCCAAACAATGTTTGCTAGCCAAAAGCAGATCGAAGGAAGTGGAAATCTTTTCACTTGGGACGAGTTCTGCACTGCCATGAAAGCGGCTTTCCTTGTCAAGACAACTAAATTGGAGGTGCATCGTCGCCTTGAAAACATCAAGTGCGGCGATCGCTCAGTGCAGAAATATGCACAAGAGATTGAGGGCGTTCTGCGACTGCTTGGAAAGAAACAGTCTGAGAATGAAGTTATGTATGTCTTCTGCCAAAATTTGCCCAAGTCCCTGCAGGATAAGCATGTCGCAAATGGCCTCAACAAATGGAGCACCTACAAGGAGCTCAAAGAGGCAGTTCAAGCTACGGACGAGACTGTTCGTATGCTAGCAATGCCTTCCACGGACTAGCCTGAGTCGAGGACTTGGTGGCAATGGTGGTGGCCAATGAAATTCCAAGGGGAAGGGCCATGGGTACAAGAGGACCTTCCACCAGAATGGTAACCAGCAGCGTCCTCCAAGGGCCGCCAAGGGAATTCTCTAATGTCGTTTGCCGAGGGTGTGGCCACCGTGGTCATATGGAATTTCAGTGCTGCGATAAGAATGCCATTAAGCATAGTGGCAAGCCTAAGGGCAACAACAATGGCAGCAAAGGACCTTCTGGCAGTAAGAAGGATTTTCAGAAGTTCAAATAGGATGTGGGTACCTAGTTGGTCAGGTAGATCGAGGGGATGAGGCATATGCTTTATGTGACGATGATTTATTAAAGCTAGAGAAGCTTGCTGAATGCAAAATCTTGTCTTTGTTTGCCTCTTTTGTTAATAAAAAAAATAATGTTTGCACCTCAATCGTACCCACTTGATGCTATATCCATCGAAGCGTTACGAGATAAATTCTCAGTCGTTTACTGTGGCCTAGACACATCGCCTTCTGTACTCGATGTTGTGAGTCATTGTACTCAAGAGCACCCCCTAAATGCGGTCGCCATGGTGACTCGTACAGTGAAGGGCAAAACGTTCAAGTCGCTTCATGGATGGGCTGTACTGGCGTCTTGGGACAAGGGACACCATGTGTGGTGGACTAAACCTGAATCCTTTGGAAGAGCTCGCTACAATGTCAAGGTGTACTACAAACCCTCGTCGAACATTGTGGCATGCCCCATCCGCCCAATGCATCAACAAAATCTACTCCTTTTGGGTCGCGTGAACGGAAATAGCGCGAAAATTCTTGTCTATATAGGTGCCATTGTTTCCCTCTTTGATGAAAAGTGGGTCACAATGCATGGGGTCCTCGTTGAAGGACCGTCATGTCTCATTTGCCTTGGTGATGATATTATTATCCCAAGCAAAGGACGGACAATGATCGACATGGAAATCCAAGGCTATAGCGAAAAGATTCGCACTTACATTCTCCCCTTGCTTGCAGGTGTTGACGTAGTCTTGGGAATGGATTGGTTACGTGCAAATGAGGTTATTTTGGATTTCCAGGAAAATACAGTTTTTGTCACCAAGAATGGTGAACCAATCCAGTGGAAGGTGTCTGTCGACACAACCATCCCCGCTATTCAAATGACGGAAAGTCCAGACGTATGCTTTGCTCTTGCATGTCAATTTGGCCAGCATTACCGCATCGCTAACACACTTTTCGTCGTACAGCTCGAGGAAGCTGGAACCCTGACGCCCAACGTTGAGGATTTTCCACTTCAGATGAAGGTACTGGTGGATGAGTTTAAGGCGGTTTTTTAGTCTATTCCAGACGGACTCCCTCTTGACCGCGCCGTGGGCCACACCATCCCTGTGGGGCGTGGAAAGCTCCCACCGTTTCAACCTATTTATCACCTCAGTTGAGCTGAGTACGAGGAGGCTAAACAACAGATCGAGGAGTACCTTAGGAAGGGATGGGTTGAGCCAAGCGCATCACCTTATGGAGCACCAATCTTGTTCGTCAACAAGAAGGGTGGTGGCTTACGCATGTGCGTCGACTACCGCGCCTTGAACAAGATCATGAACAAGAACAGATATCATCTTACACGGATAGAAGATCTGTTTGATCGACTCCAGGGTGCTCAGTTGTTTAGCACGTTAGATTCGGCACAAGGGTACCACCAACTGCGCATCACTAAGGAAAATGTTCCAAAAACGGCATTCTCTTCTTCGTTTGGCCATTTTTTATGGTGCGTGCTGAGCTTTGGCTTGACCAATGCTCCGGCCTCTTTTCAGATGGCCATGAACGTTGTGTTTCACGAAGCTATCGGCACTTCATCTGGTTTACCTCGACAACATCTTAGTTTATTCCAAGACCGAAGAGGACCACACTCAACACCTAAAATGGGTGTCAGGGAAGTTGCGAGAACACAAGTTTTATGCTCAGTTATGGAAATGCCATTTCTAGTAACGCTAGTTGGAATGTCTCGTCATCTCGTCGGGAACAACAGACATAAATTCGACCCCAAGAAGGTGGTGGCTGTTCAGTTTTGGCCTGTCCCACAAGACGTGGGCCAGGTCAGGTCCTTCCTAGGCCTCGCCAATTATTTCCGCCAGTTCTTGGAAAATTACTTGACTGACGTTGCCCCTGTGACAGCACTCACTCGAAAGGGTAGTGCATGGGAGTGGACTCGACAATGTCAAGAGGCATTTGACGAAGTCAAAACGAAGCTGACCAAGGCTCCGGTTTTTATATTGCCAGATCCTTCTAAACCCTATGAGGTGGTCACAGACGCCTCGACTGTAGGGATTGGGGCGGTTCTCTTGCAGGAGGGCCGTCGAGTGGCATTTGAGAGTAGGAAGTTCTCCACGGCACAGCAGCGCTATACGACGCCAGAACAAGAGTTGCTGGTGGTCGTGCATGCGCTGCGAACATGGCGATGTTATTTGGAAGGTGTGGAGTTTGTGGTCACGATACACCACTGTCTGAACACCTATTTATCTACTCAAGCCACACTCACTCGGCGCCAAGCCCGCTGGGCAGAACTCCTTAGTGGGTTCACATTTGATATTCGATACTCTGCAGGTTCTACGAACATGGCTGACCCCTTCAGTAGACAGCCGATAGGGGCAGTGACTGGGCTTGATGAAACCGAGGATAAGGCGGTGGTTGCTGCTTGTCTCGATATTCTTGCCGTGGCTCGAGTGAGTGAGGTCACCTTCAGTGGTTTTCAAAACGCATCCGCACAGGATACCATATTGACTCGTGGTTCCAGAACCCACAAAATATGAAGGGCCTTAAGTACGAGCATGAGCTCTGGTGGCGAGAGAAAGAGATTATGGTACCCCACGTGGGTAACCTGCGACATGATATAATCGAGGAATTGCATAGCACCAAGTACGGAGGACACCTGGGCATCAAGAAAACCCGGTGGGCCTTAAGTGATGTGTACTAGTGGCTTGGATTGGGGACAGAGGTCCAACAATTTGTGTCGCCTTGTGATGCATGCGCACGCAACAAGTCTGACAACAAAAAGCCCGGTGGTTTTCTTCAACCACTAGGGATTCTAGAAGAACCCTGGGAGAGTGTCTCACTGGATTTTATCACAGACCTCCCCAAGACACGCGATGGTCATACTGCGATCCTAGTCTTTGTGGATCGATTGACCAAAATGGTGCACTTCATTGCTACTACAACCGACGTATTACCGCCAAGTTGTTTATAGCACACGTTTTCCGCTTACACAGGTTACCGCGTGTGTTGGTGTCCGACCGAGATCCGCGCTTTACAAGCCGGTTCAGGCAGAAAGTTACACGGACACTAGGAACGAAGCTAAAGATGTCGTCAGCCTTCCATCCCCAGACGAATGGGCAAACGGAGCGGACGAATCGTACTCTTGAGCAGATGCTTCGTTCCTTCATTGGCCCAACTCTGGATGATTGGGATGACTTGTTACCTGTGATTGAGTTCGCAGTGAACAATTCTGTCCATGAAGGTACCCATGAAAAACCCTTCATTCTGAACTATAGTCGGCATCCCAGGACACCTGCTAAGCATGGGATAGGCAGATTGCGAGTCCCTGCCGTGAAAGACTTTGTGGGCAAGCAGCAAGAAGCGCTCAAATCTGCTCGCCGCTGGCTGCAGCTGTCTCAGCAGCGACAAAAGTCTTATGCCGACATGAAACGTTGGGAATCTCTTTTGAGGTTGGAGACAAGGTATTATTGAGCACGAAGAACATTCGTCTCAAAATCCCTTGGGCACAAAAGCTGTTCCCTTGATTGATTGGGCCGTTCGAGGTGATCCCGCGCGTTGGTGTGGAAGCTTACAAGTTGAAGTTACCCGATACATTGCAGATTCACAATGTCTCCCACGTGTCTCTGCTCAATAAGTATGTTGCTGGAGGCAAGTACTTACCTCCGCCAACGATCGTCCTTGGAGAGGAACTCTTATAAGGTCGAGCGTGTACTCATGCACCATGATCGACAGCGCGTCCGCAAAACAGTACGTGAGTTCCTTACTAAGTGGAAAGGCTATGGGCCTGAACACAACTCATGGGAGCCAGAGGAACATTTGACCGAAACTACGGTTAACGGATATCTTGAAGACCTGGCTCAACGAGCAGCCTCACAACCAGTGGATGGTGTTGACCCTGGTCCTAATGTGATTCAGCGCACTCGAAGCACCCGTCCCCAAAAGCACTCTACGGCAACGAGGACGTTGCCACCTGGAGGGGGAGGAGTGTAACGCATGGCCTTTGCACAGTACGTGGGCCTAGAAACAACCTTCCCAACTACCTTCCTTAAATTGGCTACCTACGCTAGGTAGCACGAGATGGGAAGGAAGGGTTGAGAGGGGAGGATTGGGATTGGTCAATACTTGGGACCAATCAGATTTTAGTTGTACAGATTGAGTTGGCGAAATTCCCAAAACACGCGATGGTTGGATTTGCGACCAATCAGAATTAGGGAGTTGGTTGGCAATGTCAACTCAACTCGAACATTCCTATGCTGTACACCATATGCTAATCTGAATACATTGTTGTAAACCTCTCATTGGTTGGAAATCCAACCCTTTGCCACATAAGCTAGCTCACCTCCTTGGAGCCATGGAGGAGGTTCAGCAGCTCCTGGGAGTCATTGGAAGGGGTTTGGGCAGAGAAGCTCATTCTCAACTTCCCACTCCAAGAAACCAATCTTGAAGTCATGAGCTCTCCTCACAAGCCTTCCTACACTAGTAGCTTCTAGTGTAGTCTCCTAGGGGAAACCCTACCCAACCAGAGCCTCAAGTACTATTCTCCAAGAGCCTTCCTACAAGCTTAAGCTACTTCTTAGAGGGGGTTCTTCCTAAGTACAATGCTAGGAGATCGCAAGTTGACTTTATACCCTAGGATCTTGGATGTTGGTTTTGACTTCAACCCTTGTTTGTCCATGCTATAAGGGCAAGGGTTGTTACATGGGATCTAAAAAAATGACATGGCGCATGGCGGCGAGAGTGCTTTGATGATTAGAGATGAGTGAAGAGACGAAGTTCAAGAAACCCCCCATCGCTATTTATATTTGCAGAGTGCTGCAAGGTGCGGGAATGGAGTCGCCTGGTGGTATAAGATGACGACTTGGAGCCGGAGAGCGAGGAACGGTGGGGAGGAGAGAACGAAGAGTCGAGCAGAAAGACGGAGACGGGGAAAGACCGAGGGTTTCCTCGACAGGCGAATGCTTCATGCCTTGTTGCGTGTCATTGGGTGTATAAATTTGAAAAGAGCTGTAACCCATTAGTTGGCAAGAAAGAAAGTGTAAGGAATTTTATTCCTTACCAGGTTGTGCTGCAATCGCGTACACCCGAACTCCCAGAAACTAGGCTCGGTCCATCTCTGACGCGACCCCGAGGCTACAGTAGCTCGCGCCGCCTCCAGCCCTTTCGACCGCGCCTGTACCCAACCTAACCCTTCTGGGCTCGTCGCATAGCTAGAATTCTCGGTATATAATGCTAGGCTCCCATTTTTAAACTGGTCATTATTATTCCATGCACTCTCAGTTATTATTCATAACATCTGGTATCAAAGCTACTTTCCTGGTTCACCCCGCTATCTCAGGGTAGTTTATTTCCAAGGCGTGGTTAACCCTGCGGGGCTGCAAAGCGGTTGTCCGTGAGCTAGAGTAATTAGCTCACACAACTACGATAGCGTGTGCGCCCCCTGCAGTTTCTTACCACGGCCTTTCCCCTGCCCGGAAGGCATGGCATTCGCATCATGACTCAGGCCCAGCTAGACGAAGTCATGGCTCAGATGCTGGCAATGCAAGCCCAGATGGCCAGTTTGAATAGCGAAGTCATGAGACTTCGGACAAAGAACACCGAGCTTGGCGACCACCGCCTGGCTTGGCAATCGACTTCGACGCCTGGCTTGTCGACCACCGCCGTCACGTGACAGGTCAGCACCAGGATGGCTACTCCCTGGTTGTGCATGTCGATGGCTTGCTTCGCCGCCTCCCCACGCCTGGCTCCCTTCCTGATGCCCCCACCACTGCTGAGCGTGAAACCTTTTGTGCTACTGCTGCGCTTGCTCGCGTTGTTTGGGACTCGCGCGATGTCGTAGCGCAGCTTGCCATCAGTCACGCTCTCCCCCTGTCCGAGTGTCCCCGCTTTACTGTTGTAGCGAACGCTGAGGATTTCTTAGAGGCTGTAGTTCCGCGCTATTCCATGCCTAGCTCCACCTCCGCTGGCCGCTTGATCCTCCCCATACTGTTCCCTGATATGATGGCCTCCCCTACTGTCGCTAACCTGGCCACTAGCCTCCGTGCGCTTGAGGCTAGCTACCGCACCACTAGTATTGAGGCCTAGCTCACGGCCTTCCCGCCGCCGCTATGTGCTACCCTCTACCTCATTTCCATGCGCCTTCCGGACCGCTTAGCCACTGCCCGCGACCACTTCCTTAGTCAGCACCCTAGTAAACTCACCCTTCCCGCCTTTGTCGCCGCCCTGTCCAAGATAGGGACCTGGCAGTGCACTGTTGCTAAGTCTAGCGGTACTACGCCAGCCCCTATCTTTCAGGGCTGTGCTCCCTCCCAGTGCACTTACACTGACGTTTCGGCCGCTGTCGCTGAGACAGCCCCTGCCGCTAAGACCGCCGCTGCGGCCTCCGCATAGCCGCGTTAGCGTAGGGGCCGCCGTTCCTTTGGGGGGGGGGGGTCTGGCAGAGGCAGGGGTGGCGGGGGTTGTGGAGGTGGAGACGAGGGCAATGGCTCAGACGAGGGGAGCGGGGCTGGTGCCCCGGAGCAGCAGCAGCAGTAGCCCCAGCAGCAGCAACAGCTGCAGCAGCAGTAGCAACAGCAGTCACAGCAGCAGCCACAGCAGTAGGGCCGCCTCCCGCCTGGGTGGCCCGGTGCCTCTCGTGGTGGTGCCCGCGGTGGCGGCCCTCGCAGCTTGGTGTCGGCTGGTAGCTTCGGCGCTGTGAGTTGCCAGTACCAGCTCCAGACCGGCCCCTTCTGCAGCACAGTGTGTGGTCGCTCCACTCACACTACCGTCCGGTGCTTTCGCCGCCTCGGCGACCTCTTCCGTCTCCGCTTCGGCCCTGTGCCGGACCTCCGCGACTGGCCCAGTGTGGTGCGTCACGGTGTGAGTGTTTTTGAGTTGGACATGGACCTGATTTGCTCTACTTTATATGCCATGTATGCTGATGCCCCTAGTCTGACCGGATCTTATTACCCTCTGTTGCCTTGTGTAGGTGTGCCTCCTGTGTGTAGTCTAGGCTCCACTGCTACGTGAGACATAGGACCTTCTGCCTTGTTTAGCCTAGGCTCTATGCTAGCACCTATGCTGGCTGCCGCTACCACTTCACTCTCCTTCACGCTTGACTCTGGAGCGTCTGCCTGCGTCTTCCGTGACCACACTGCGCTCACGCCACTTACTGCCCCCGTTGCTGTCGCGCTCGCTGACCCCTCCTCAGGTCTGGTACTTGCCCGTAGCTCCACTACCCTTCCCTTTCCGGCAGTTCCCTCGGGCTCCCTTACATCCCCTCGTTCTCCAAAAACCTAGTTGGTGTTGGCTGTCTTCATGACCTCGGCGTCACCACTACGTTCCTCCGACACGAGCGATACGCAGTCTGTACCGATACCGCCTCAGGTGCCCTCCTCACCACATTCCCCCAGGACCCGTTGGCTGGTCTGTTTACCCTTGACACTGAGCCCCCTTTGGTGAGGGCGTCACCCCAGGTGCCTGCGTCTACCCAGGTTGCTGCAGCTTGCTCGTATCGGTCGCTCACTCACCCGTCGCATCTGTGGCACCACAGTCCATGTCACCCCGCACTCCCTCTTTTGCTTCACATGTCCCAGAACGGTCTTATCCTAGATCTCCCTGCGTCTCTCCCTGCCCTCCCTCCCTCGCCTGCATCGCCGTCCACGCCTTGCGTCGAAGGCCTGCTGCACCATGCTCCTCACTCCTCCTCACTTCGCCCTGCCACCGTGCCCCTCCAGACTCTGCACCTGGACCTCTGGGGCCTAGCCCTCTGCCCTAGGCCACGTCGAGAGCGCTACTAGTGCTTGTCGATGACTACA